CCGAGTAATCTTGAAGAAAGAGACTTTAAGCGATATAGGTGCTGCCAAACTTTTGACTTCCTGGAATTTTTTTGAGTTTGAATATAGCACGAACTTGTACGACAACCCCCAAAAGAAACTAAGCTACTCGGCATCAAAACGCTTGGAGAAATTTTTATGAGAGGATTGCGAAATTTCAAAGGAAATAGCAAAACTAAATTATGAATCATAATTGAGAATTTGTTATTTTGAAAGAAACCGATTCATATCACTTATTGAAAAAACGATGTATCTGCTTGCAAATACATGGCATGCAACACCGTAGCAACACAATACGAACACAACACAATTAACTAAGTTTGCTTTGCCTACCTGTACGTCTGAAATACCGCGAGCAGCTTTTTCGGTCTCTTCATCGATGGGTGACGAAGTGGGTTCGGTAGCTTTTTGCATTGTTGACAAATTCATCGCAGCAACAGGTACAGCATAGCTGTCCTGCTGCAATGGTTGTTGTTGTTCTTCTTCTTGTTGCTGCGAATCCTGCTCTTGGTCTACCTTTTGTTCTTGTCCATCTGCTCTTTCTTGATCGGCATCGTTATTGATGCTCTCATTTTTGAGCGTCTGCGAATGCTCAGAGGTAAAAAACGCAGCTTTTACGCCTTCTTTGGGATCATCAGATGATGAGATGGCTTCGTCCACATTCTGAACACTAGCATAGCCAGCTGCTGCGTCAACAAGCTCTACTGCACGATGACGTGAACGTTGCGAATCAGAGTCAGAATCACTCGCTTCTTCAGCTTCCGAGACAGCAGAGCTAGACGTGCTTGCTCGGCGAGCTGTTAAACTTGTCGTTCCTACAATGTTCTGCTGAGAACAGCTAGGAGCAGAGAGGGCAGCAGCGAAGACGTCATCATAATCCGTCGATTCGTCGTCCGAATCCGCTTCCACCGATGGCTGAAGCACACCACAGCACGTAACAACAACACGACCATAAACAACATTGTCACAAATCAGTGGCATACGCACGAATCAAACCACTCAAAGAGGAGCTACTCCTGAACAATTCGATCAACTAAATGCGTTATTGTAAGAGATACAGACGAGGGAAACCAAATCAAACCCGAGAGTTGTCTCTAGAAACGTGCGCACGAAACGTATTTGTGAAAGATTTAACTGAAAATTACCTGAGTTGCCGAAACAGTGGATGCCACTGCAGACTGACTCGGAACGAAGATCTTCATAGCAGCTTTGGTAAGGAGTTTCGGTCGACCATCCGAAGACGTAGAATGCGAATCCTGAGGCGCTAGTGCAGGCACAATTGCTACAGGTTCCGAAATTTCTTCAGTACTACCTCTTCGAGAAGTGGTTTCCTGAGATATCAGCATTGTCACAAATTTCTAATAAAAATTTCATCCAATGTGTACCTTCACTTCTTCGTCCTGGTGTGATTCTGTTTTTACTACTTCCTGAGCTGGTGTTTCTACTGCATAAACCTTATCATGCTTCTCCTCATCCATTTCGATTTTCACCGCCGATTTTTCCTCCTCCTGCTTCGACACCAAGTGGGTTGTTTCGACCTCCTCCGTCTTTTGAAGTGCA